GTGATTCCTAAGCATTGAGTGACTCTAATTGAGTAAGGTTTCAAGGGTTGAGTGGGATAAGAAATATGTCTTATTTGGAATCAAAAATATTCTATACTTTAGAAGATGAAATTAATGTAATGTGGAATAAGATGGTAGGAAGTATCAAAAAAATATAAACAGATATTCTTGGAGAATCAAAAGGAAAGGACCATTAGCTAAAGAAACTTGGTGGTGAAATAATGATGTCCAAAGTATGATAAAAACAAAAAGAACATGTTACAAAATACGGCAAAAACCTAAAAAAGATTAAGATTTTAGATAATATAAGTTTGCAAATAAAGAAGTTAAAAAAGCGGCAAGAGAAGCTAAGTCTAAAATATATAATGATTTTAATCCCAAGCTAGATACAAAGGACGGAGAGAATAGTATATATAGGCTTGCTAAAGTAAGGGAAAGAAAAACTAGGGATATTACCCATATTCAGTGTATTAAAAATAAGGATTCAAGAGTCTCAGTAAAAAATGAGAAAATTAAATAAAGGTGAAAAATTATTTTGAGATGCTATTAAATGAAAATAATGTGGAAAACTTAGAGATCGAAAAAAATAATAACCAAAGAGAGACTAACAAAAATAGATTTTTTCAAAGAATTATGGTGTCTAAAGTAAATAATGTATTAATGAAAATTGGAAAAACTTTAGGACCGAATGGAGTACTAATTGAGGTTTGGAAGTATTTAGAAGATGTCAGGGTATCTTAGTTAACTAAATTATGTAATAAAATTAAAACAACAAAGAAGATACAAGATGAGTGGAAGAAGAGTATTTTAGTTACGCATCAATAAAAACAAAGGGGACATTCAGAGTTGTACAACTATCGAGATATTAAGTTAATAAGCCATTCAATTAAACTTCGGTTGAGATTGATCGGCCAACTATTGAGAATTGAAACAACTATATCTAAAAATCAATTGAGTTTATGTTCGGAAAGCCAATGATGGAAGCTATATGCGCATTTAGGAGACTAATGGAAAGGTATAGAGAGAGAAAAAAATCTTCATATAGTNTATATCTAAAAATCAATTGAGTTTATGTTCGGAAAGCCAATGATGGAAGCTATATGCCCATTTAGGAGACTAATGGAAAGGTATAGAGAGAGAAAAAAATCTTCATATAGTGTTTATAGACCTAGAGAAGGCATATAATAGAGTGCTTAGGACCATAATATGGTGAGTTTTAAAGAAGAAGAAAGTTACAAAAAGATGTACTGATATGATTAAGGATATGTATGAGCATGAAATGACCTTAGTAGAATTGCAAATTCCCAATCACAATAGGCTCACATCAAGGTCCCACTTTAAGTCCACAAATCTTTGCCTAAATTAAGAATAAATTGACTCAACACATTCAAGATGAGGATTCCATAGTGTATATTATTTGTCAATTATATAGTATTGATTAATGAAACTAAAGTAGGAATTAACAACAAACTAGAAGTTTAGCGAGAAACTTAAGAATCAAAAGAATTTAGGATTAGAAATAAAACCGAATATATGAAATGTAGTTTTGGTAATAGTAGAAACACAAATAAGGAGGTAGTGAAGATCAAAGACCAAGAGATAACCCAAGAGCGAACAGTTTAGATATTTAGGGTCAATTATCTATAGGGAGGGAGGGAGAGAGATTGAAGATGATATTAATCATAGAATTAAAGCACGATGGATTAAATGGACGAATGCATCCAACGTACGATGTGATTGACATATACCATTAGACCAACAATGCTTTATGGAATGGAATATTGGATAATTAAGAAACAGCATACTCAATACCCAAATATTGTAGAAATGAGAATGTTAATATAAATGTGTGGTAAAATAAGAAATGAAAAAATTAGAAATGAGTATATTCACAAAACCGTAGAAGTAGTACCAATAGAAGATAAATTAATAGAGAATCAATTTAGGTGGTTTGGATATGTTTATATAAGACCTAATAATGCACCGGTAAGGAAAAACAATTTGATACATATCGATGACAATGCAAAATGTAAGGGTAGGCTTAAAATAATTGTGAACGACATAGTAAAAAAATATGATAGCTTATGGTCTAATAGAACATATGGTTCTTAATAAAACGTAATGGAGAAATAAGATTCGTGTAACCGACCCCAAATAGTTGGGATTATGGCTTTGTTGAATTTAGTTTAGTTAGTGCAATATTGTGAAAAACTCGCCTATGCTCGAAGCAAGCCAAAACACACCTAAAACATCTCAATAGATTTGAGGCGTGACGACTTCACCAAGGCGCAGTCAAAGGGCGAGCACATGAGGCATGTGCTTTTTCCCCTTCAGTGAAATGTTTTAGGCTATTAATCTATTGGTTGTGTTTTTTACCCCTTCAGAGCATATCTATTATTCTAGATAAAGCCAATAAAATTATTTTTTTCCCGGTTCAAAAGAAAATCTATTGGTTTTTACTAGAATATTAGATATGCAATATTAGTTATACTCATATGCACAACATTAGATTACTAGCGATAACCCGTGACAAAAGTCACTGTACACAGAGCTATGACACTGTGCATGTATTGAAGCGTGTATATAGCTGGAATGTGTATATAATTAGTGTGTGTGCGTTGCAGTANACATTAGATTACTAGCGATAACCCGTGACAAAAGTCACTGTACACAGAGCTATGACATTGTGCATGTATTGAAGCGTGTATATAGCTGGAATGTGTATATAATTAGTGTGTGTGCGTTGCAGTGTGTGCAACTATGTTATGTTGTTGTGTTGAGTTTGTGAAATTTTGGAGGGAAAACAGTGTACTGCGTGTGTGAAATTTGTTTTTTTTTTTTTGGAGGGGGGGGATATCCCCACAAGTTCAGAAACCTAGCTGTTTTATTTTATAGATAGCTTTAAATGTAGATATCTAATCCTTACCCTGATAACATGTAAACTTCACAAATTCATGCTAATTTAACTCCAACCAAATATCTCTTCTGAGATATTGATCTCTCTTGCTACACCTCCTTCCGCTTCTCTATCAAATATCTCTTTCTCTCCCATTTTTTTCATTATGTTTTTTGTGAAACCAGCTCCTAACTTACTGAAATGAACCTCTATTTCTTAAAAAATAATCAAGCTCTTTTTTCGGTTCAATAAGCTTTGATATGTTAGTTAGCCTTTGGTTTTAAAAAATATGTTGTATTGGTTTGAAATGTTAGCAGTGTAATATCCAATTTTACAAATGATCTACAGCATGTGCATCACCTTGATAATTCTGCTCCTCGCTTAATGTCTACACCCCAGGGGACCTTAGTGCCTCATTGCACCTTTTGCCTTGAATAGAACTAAACTAAGCTGGTCGGTGAGAAATGCTAAAGTTTTCAAAGGGAAATTATTTATGGGATAGAGTTCACTCTTTGGAATTATTGTGGACATAGATGACGGGGGAGTTTGAGGATTTTTCTCTTTTCTACCTAGTTTCATATTGGAGATCGATGTGCGGAATGTAGACTTGGGACGATTTTCTTTTGTTTTGATGTAAGGGTCAATCGTAATCTGTCTTGTCCTCCATCATACCAGAATCTTCTCCTTATTGTCTGATAGGTATTGGAAAAGAGAGAAAAAAAAGAAAACTTTTTCAGCTCATACAAGTCAATAAGCAACAAAAGTGGAAACTACGCTAGGCATTGATCAAAGTATTCCAAATCATGCGAGTTCATTTACAACAGAAGAATAATCTGAAGCCTACTAAATGTATGATATAAACTCCTATACTGATATGTTTCTTTCAAAAATCATGCTGATTAAATAATAAATATAGACATTACAACATCAGTAGTACTCTAGTTGTCACTTCAAGTAATCAGTATGCAACTTATAGACCCAGTAAGTTAAACCATTTTTGAATTTAACACCCACAGTCTCAACAATAGATTGGAAAAGGTATTGGAAACAAACACCCAAATTTGCCTGGAAAAGACGACCAATTTTTATGGATCAATATGTATAACAATACCATAATAAAGGAGCTCAGCATTCATCAGCTCAAAAAGTAGGTGGAACCATGGAAGATCTCATTACTCTTTTTCCTTAGTAAGAAATGAATATAACCATATGGAAGACCTCAATACTTTATGAACGCTGGTTAGTAACTAACAGCACATTATATACAGATGGTGACATACGAAACTCCAAATGACAACAGCAAACCATAAACAAAATTAAGTCAACTGAACGCATATTTATTGATGTGCATTGATTGAATGAAATAAAGTTATAACTTTGATATATCAATTAAGATTGGGTCGAAGAATTCCACGACTCAAGCTAAAAGATCAACAAATATAGCACACAAGGTTCCTATAATCATACTTTGACAACTACTCCCTTACTATATCTGTCACAAACATATACCTTCACTCCAGTGAAATAAGTCCATTGCATGCTTGGCTTGCATGTAGTTGTATGTGTTTTTACAACTCATTTCGTTAGTGTATCAGAAATGTCAAACCCTAAATAGGGTTGGAACAAATACCACTCCAGACAAGTTTTTGTGCTTCACACTTTCACAGATAGAGAGAGAAGCTAATGGCGTGCAGCAACGATTTTTCCCTGCATATATGCGACTAAATGGCTCTACATTCCAAATGATCCAAAAATTCAAACCATTTGGGTTCTACAAAAGAAAAACTTATTCTAGAAATAACCAAGATATGTTAATAAAATCAAAATGAACAGGGGAAATAAAGATTTCTTACATTCAAAACCTCCACTTTGTTTCTCCATACTAGTTATTATAAATCAATTACTTTTGCATAGATACAAAGAGGACACCACCAAAACTACATCTCACATTTATGCAAAAGCTGCAACTATAGACTCCTAGTGTTTTAACAGTAACAGCCAAAGCAATGCAAGATGCATCTGAGGATATCATCACCACATAATTTCTGTACTCAGGATGCCTTATCATAAGAGCATAGTAACATGGTTAATTAAAAGCATTCATTTACCTACTCCCCTTCTTTGAACCAGATACCCCATCTTTGGAATTTCCACCTGCGATCCGTGAATGAATAAAAAGGCCCATATTTTTATTAATGTGTCCATATTAAAGAAAATCAATCATTTATCCATAGTGTGTATCAAAATAGGAATAATGTACAGAAATGATTATATGCTCAAAAAAGTATTAAACGAAAAAAAAAACATTCAAAATTCCCTGGCTGCCACTGACCTTCAGAATCAGTCTTCAATTTGTCACTGGGATTGACTGTTCCTCCTCTAACAAATGTCTTTGACCCGGGCGTACTATCGTCTTGAAACGACTCCACAAATTCTGCATATAAACGAGCTGTTTCATCCTCTGCTCGCTGCAAAACCAGAATAGAATGGCATGACCAACAAACTCTTTTTCAGCAATCCATTCATTCAAAAGGGTTCCTTCATACCTTTTTCTTTGCCTCTTCCTCTTCTCTGTGCTTCTGAAAAGGCGTCTTCTTCCTCGTAATCGAGAAGGAACTCATCTTTTCATTGACTGCGAATCATAAAAACACATCCAAATCAAAAACCTATGCAGCAAAAATCAAAAATCAAATCATATCTCCAAAAAATGTATCCAAATCAAAAATAAATATCAAAACTCTCCAAATCCGCATTAAAATTCAAAAACCCATATCATTTCACATCTTAAACAAACTAAGCTAGTTATTTTCAAAACCAAATCATGGCACTCGGACAAATCATGGCACTCGGACCATATATTACATGAGCTGCTAGGTGCCAACCAAGTATACAAGTGCTTACCTCACACAAGTAAAGCACAACTGAATATGGAAGCTCCTAACCCCAATATCTAGGGTTTTTGTTTTTCTTTATAAATATAATTCAATATGGAAGCTTCGGATACATACACGTACGTAAATATATACAGATTTAGAGCGCTTACGAATTACGAACTGGCGAGACGATGTGTCGAGCCGGTAAGCAAAACAGCAGAGAACTCAAACGAGAGAGGGAGAACGCTGAATCTCACCCTAGTAAACTGAACCCAAACCAACAACACACTAGAAACCCGACCTCAGACAACCCGGACCGATACATAGAACCGACTAAAGGCAAGTTTCTGCTTTTTTTTATCTGATGCTTTTTAGTGTTCTTATGCTGAAATTACATCAATAGCCATTGAATTACAGCACGTGTTCCAATTAAGTATTTAAATAAAATTTTGTGCCAATTTTTGAGTCCCTCAACTACATAATTTAACTCCCCACCAAAAAAAAAAAACTTCATAATACATGTGCATCACACATGACTTTAGCAAAGGTATAATAGGTCAATCAATAAACATTCAACTCAACTCAAAAAATTATTGTCCCAATATTTTTAGGGTCGACTATATGAATTTTGTTTCATCATTATTCTTTATTAGATACCATATTTTTTATAAAACCATAATTTGTAATGTCTTTCTTTACTATTTCATTTAGAATTACTTTTGGTCTTCCTTTACTCTCAACACTTACGGTCAATAATTATCATATCACTCTTTCTCATGGTGTCGTAGTAGGTTATCTACAAATATGTCCAAATTACCAAAGTCAATTTTTTATTAATTTAGGTCTACTAGGAAATTGTTCATTGTAATTGGCTAATTTCGTGAAGTTACAAATGTAAACCTCAACTAAGTTCACAGTTGATGACGGTAGGATTTTGGAGTGGGCTGCCCATCCTAAACTCAAATTTTAATGGGCCAAAAAGGGTGCACAATGGCCTAAGAGACCCCTCAACAACCCATATGCTCTGTAATAAGGAATGGGTCATAATCCAAATGAGGGAGCCCAGAAAAAAGTCCAACTCGGCACAACCCTACTTGGTCATAACAAGCTCAGCATTAAGCAGTCTGAGATCAAGGAGCTCGGTATTCACTGGACCCCGAATGTCCCACTTCGCGCCATGTGTCCAGGGGACCAGGGGACAACTTCTAGAGCTTCTAACGAACGTGTATTCTCTGGTAAATGGAATATTTGTGCACGTAACCACTCAATAATTGTGGATACTATGGCGTTGCATGACAGAGGTCACTAAAGGAAAAACAAAGATGGGACCACAGAATCAGCAAAAAGAAAGAGGAAATCACAAGAAACCCTAGAAGGATTACCTGTATAAATAGAACACTATCACACTGCGAAGGTGGACTGACAACTTCTTTATTGAGATACTTGTATTCATAAAACATTGTATGAAAAGGTTTTAAGCCCAACAACCCATTGTAATCTTTTTCTTCAAGAAATATACACACCCTTAAAGAGTAAACGACTTCATTACAGTGGACGTAGCCTTAGTATCTCGGCTAAAGTGAACCACTTATACATTATTTTTGATTCATTCTCACAGCTTAATCCGCTATCAATTCATATATTCGCACCACCCCTCTTTGGACCATCAAATCATTGTTCTGAACTTGGGTTAAGCATTTTCGAACACCATCAGCTTGGCGCCATCTGTGGGAATGATTTTCATCATTTTCTTCAAGTTTCTTTCTACATTTCTGTTAGCTCGGACAAAACGCGAGCTCTTCAGCCGCGCAACCTCGCCTAGGCTTTTCAATCTAATAGCTTTTTCAACTCGGAAAAGCTGTGCAACCTCGACTAGACTTTTCAATCGAAAAGCTTTTCAGCTCGGTCAAGCAGTGAACTCTTCAACCACGCAGCCTCGACTAGGTTTTTAGCCTAAAGAGCTTTTCAGCTCAGTCCATTAAATATGGCAGTTATAAGTTATCAACACAAACATGACTTTGGCCTTGATACCAAATAGATAAATTCAGCTCATATTCATAAAGTAGTATCAGGATAACAAAGAAAGAAGAAGAAAAAATCTAGGTCCCCCCCAGCCCGCCACTTCAACTTTGAATTCTTCCTCTCCAACTACGCATTGGTAGCCCGCAGGCAAACATTCTCAGCTCTTAAAGCATCTCGCTTCTCCTTTGCCTCAGAGAGCTGCTTCTTGAGGTCTGTATTCCCAAATTTGTGCTCCAGCTTAGCAGATGAAAGAGAACCTAACGACTGTGGTAGAGAGTTGTTTTGTCTGAACTTCTTAGATGAGCTGGCTACGTTCTCCTCTGTTTCTTGCCCGAACTTGTGTTGGATAACTAACCCTTATTCTTCTTGTTCTTAGCTCTGGCCTCCCAAATGCTCTTAGTATCATCTATCTCTCTCTCAATAGCCATGGTTGTCTCGACTAAAGAATTCAAGTCTTGCAACCTATACCCCCACAATCTTTTCTCGTATGGCTAGTTTTAGACCATCCTTAAACCTCCTGACTTTTGTCGCATTGGTGGCCACATAATCATCAACAAAATGGGCTAACTTGATGCATTTAGTCACGTATTGCATGATCGTCATCGTCCCTTGCTTGAGATTCAACAATTCTCAGGCCTTACTAATATAAGGGTAGAAATGAAGTACTTGTTCATAAATAACTCTTTGAATTCAACCCATGTCATAGCCTCTAATCCCCTTGATGACTTAGCCCATACCCACCATTGATGGCCTTCCCCTTTGATTTGAAAGGTGACAAGCCTAATCTTTGTAGCGTCTGACATGATTTCCATCACCTTAAGAATCTGGTTCACCTGTTGGAACCAATGGTCAACTACCATTAGGTCTATTTTTCCCATGAAAGTAGGTGGCTTGTATGACTTAAACTTTTGGAGATTACTCGAACCTCCTTCACCCTGCTTGCACTATCTTGTAGGAAAGTAGTGGTCATGACATTCATGAATACCCCTTTATCGTAGACAGGTCGTGGTGGTGGGTTGTTCTGACCTCCCACTCGATAGTTTGGTTGTGGTCGTTCTCGTGTTGCTATCTATAACACAAGAGATAGCAATAGACTCTAACTTAGTATCATGTACCATTAACAACATTGAAGCATTATAAAATATATCACAATGATACAATGGTGTCATAAAAAGAACATGCAAGTTGGGTTCAAATTAAAGTCATGACACACCTTTACACTTTTTGTCATAATTCTTAGGATACTAAGAAATTGGGGGCTAAAATCTATCTCATTTGAAAGTAGACATCCTAAGCTTTCCAACAATAGCTTATTTGTGTAATTCCAACTTTGGTAGAAAAAGTTATGGCCATTTGAAATTGGGGGAAAATACAATTTTGTTGACCTACTAGTAGGTAAGTCCACCTACCAGTGGGTTCAAAACAGAGTGTTGTTCTACCAATAGGTTGATGTCCAACTACTGATAGTTTCAAAACAGAATATTGTTCTACCGGTAGGTTGATGTCCAACCTATCAATAGGTTCCAAAACAGAAGATTTGAGCTACCGGTAGATTTTAGGTTCAACCTACCGGTAGGTTCAAAATAGAAAGCCTTTCTACCGGTTTGTTCTTATTGACCTACCGATAGGTCAAACCTGAAAGCTATCCTACCAGTAGGTTATGTCTTGATTTCTACCGATTCATCTATGTTTTCTTTCTTTCTTCTTGTCCAACCTTAAGACTATATTTCTACCTAGGTTTTCCAGGTCTTTCATGTTTAAGCATACATATATTCATGCAATAGTATGTAACAAAGAATATGTAATGTATGTGGATGCAATGTCATAACCAAAATATTTTCGTAATGGAAAATGATGGACTCACTTCCCATGAGACACATGTAAGATCTAAAGTATAGGCCTTGATGCCAAGCTATGAAACCCCAAATCCCGAGGGTCCTTATTACCCGTTAAACCTCGTTAATTAACCCAATGCATTGATCCCGACGGACCAATCCCAATGGAACTCCNCACATGTAAGATCTAAAGTATAGGCCTTGATGCCAAGCTATGAAACCCCAAATCCCGCGGGTCCTTATTACCCGTTAAACCTCATTAATTAACCCAATGCATTGATCCCGACGGACCAATCCCAATGGAACTCTGATAGAGTCTCATTTGTGCGTGGAGCTCCACCCAAAACACAACCTAAGTTAATAACGATTCCAATTAACCTTCTAAGGTCTAACATGCATATCTAATACAATCCATGCATTAGACAACAATAACAAGTTCAAATGTAAACCATTCATTTAACAAATGAACAATTTACATTAAGTCCCCATATGTATGCCATTACAAAAGAATAGACATATGTTGTATAAACCAAAAGTACAAGTCTATCAATTTTACAAATTGGGACCCAACTTCTATACATCCAAGATAAGAGCATAAGATCCAACTCCACATCAAAGCGGACCCATGGGAAGGCCATTTGCAGAAGCATGCGTAGTACTTGAAAAATATTCCCACGACGGGGTGAGCCTAAGCTTAGAAGCGTATCTCCTATAGAGAATACCTCTCAACTCAAATGCATATGATATGATGTACATACAACTCAACAATCACATATATGCAACAAGTACATAAAAAAAATATTACTAAACATGTCGAGCCATGAGTGTTGTTTCATGAATGCATGTTCAACTTCAAACCCACTCCCAAGTTTTCATGCATACCCATGATGTAATGTCATGCCATGAACGGGCATTTTCATGCCCCCGCAATTGAGCTATACACACACAATGACTATTTTAATTACTATCTTATCTTTAGGGGCAAGTAATTTATGGCCTTTCACCAATGGGATACCAAACCATTAATGCATCTTGAGGACATCCCTCCTACGACTCCATTTTTGCTGACACACATTTATGGAATCGTTATACCACCGAAAAATGTGTGATCGAATAAACCAGGTCTTGCACCTGAGGAAAAATCTAACCCTTCTTGCTAAGCTCTGACATATTTTCATGCAATTTTCCATGAGACTCAATTGAACCTTGGTTCAATCTTCCAAGCCCCTCCCATCAGTCACCTATATGGTAAGCGATTTATCCATGAACAACACTCACAACCATGCCAAATGTCTTGTGGAAGTGATGTTTAACCTGTGCACGTGTAATGTATATATAGTTGCATTTCAATTAAAAACACCATGTCAATTATAGCATTAAAACATATAAGAGCATTCTAGTGTACCACCCAACACATGTTATATACATTGATTAACCCAAATAACATGCTTGAATACATTTATAGCAT